ATGTACCACCCTGGCGAGACAGTGCGCTGCCAGACTTCCGCCCTCCTGAACGTGGCATCGCTGCTCCTTGGTGACAGCTGTCTAACCTGACAGAAGCAGGACGTCCCACCAACACCCACCTCTCTACCTTCCCCGCGCCTTGGCGGGCAGAGAGTGCAATGCAAAAACAGCAGCAGCAGCGTGCGACCCGCCGGAGGCGAACTCGCCTCTCTGGAGAGTCCCAGGCTCCGGCAGGAAGTGCCGCCCAGAGACGCCGACAAGCCTGTCAAGTCACTACGGAACGCAATCGAAGTGTTAGACGCCGCGTTTTAAAGGGGCAGGAGGGAAGGCAAGAGCGCCTTGGCGGAGGAAGGACCCGTCAGGCGACTCACCGCAGTCCACAAACTTGAGGGGCTCGGCCAGCACCGCGGAGCCGGCGGCCAGGAGCAGGAGCAGCGTCGTCGCCAGCATGGTCTCGTCTCGTCCCGTCTGCTCTCGCGCCGCCCCCAAGAAACTTCTCCCGGCCGGCTGCGGAGCGGAGGCTAAAATACGAGCCTGCGCCTCTGCGGCGGCGTCACATGACAGGCAGCCCAGGCCGGGCCCGCCCAGGCGCGGTCACCTGACGGGGACGGGCCCACCTCGCGCACTGCCCTCGCCTGGCCCGCTGCCTGGCTGGCGCCTCGCCCAGAGGGAAGGGGCGCCAAGCGGCAGCAGAGCGCCTCCAGCCCCGAGCCCCGAGCCTGCTGCAAGGGAGCCGGGCGCGGAGCCATTCGCTCGGCCCTGGCTGCCCTGTAACCTAGCCGGGCATTGGCTTACAACAGGGAACCCGGGTTCCTCCAGGAGCCGTAGGACACCAGCTCCCATCATCCTTGCCAATTGGCTCTGCTCGTGGGGGCTGATGGGAGTTGGAGTCCAACCACACCCTGGAGGGGGCCCCCTTCCCCCGTCTTCGAGGAAAGCCTCCGCTTCCAACAACAGGCGTTGCTTTCAAGCGCACCTGTTTGGGAGGAAGCTCCACTGAAACTTTCCCAGGTGAATGTTGAATTATAGGATTTGTATAGTTGGGACCACAAGGATCATCTATTTCTAATCCACCCCCCTGTAATGCAGGAATCTCTTTGCCCAACAACATGGGGCTCGAACCCACGACTTTGAGATTAAGTGCCTCGAAAGCTCATACCAAGAACTAACTTAGTTGGTCTTTAAGGTGCTACTGGAAGGAATTTTTTTTGTTCATACTCTAGAACAGGCATCCCCAAACTCCCCCCTATGTTTTGGGACTACAACTCACATCATTCCTAGCTAACAGGACCAGTGGTAATGATGGGAATTGTAGTCCGAAAACATCTGGAGGACCAAATTTGGGGATGCCTGCTCTAGAATAACACTGCTTTTCCTGCTTTCGCCTGGTTGCTTCAGGGCCACAGGAGTCGCTGGAAAGCGCAGGAACCAAATGGATTGTGGATGGAGAGCCTTGCAGCAGTCGCACAACGCGCGAAAATTCATTTTGGCAGTGATTCATTATATCCACTCAATAACGTGTACGTGGCGAAAAGTGTGAGAAAGAAGAGGTGGGGGAAGTGGGGGGGGAGGTGTCTGCCGCCTCTACCCTGTTGGCACCCACACCTACTCCTGCTTCTAAACGGGCAGAAGGCCAAGATGCTGAAAAGTTGTTCTCAGCGGGTTGCGAAACATAATGTTGCGCAACACATAGCTGCTGACCCAAGTTACACGTTATGGAGGAGTGACGGAACAGAAATAAACCCTCAGTTGCTCTGAGCCAATGCAGACTGCACCATTCTGGTGCCCTCCAGTGTTTTGGCCTACACAGCTGTGCTTGCTAGGACTGATGGGAGTTGATATTGAAAACATCTGGAGGGCATCAGGTTGGTGAAGGCTGAGGCTGAGCTAGTGTGTGAGAAATACCCCATAAAGCAATTTCAATCCCAATGGAAATATAGTTGGGTTTAGGTCAGCATGATGAAAGCCCCTGCGCTGCCATATTTATATATTTAAGAATATATTTTGCCTGCCCTACACCAAAAGATCTCAGGGTGGGTCACAGAATTTAAAACAACAGTAATACATCCCCATTAAAAAAAACAACAGGTAAAAATACACATTTAAAATCACAACGTAAAACCTAGCAGCAGACTAATGGCAACACCGTGCATAACTAGGTTGCTTGAATCCAAACAAAGTCTGAACCTGCTCCCCTATCTGGTTCACCTGCTGTATTGTCTTCATTCCACATTATGGCCTGGAAGAGGGAGTAATGGGGGATGTTTGTAATGTATTCCCCCCAAGGTTTTAATTGAATGTATGAGTTGTTTGTTTGTTTGTTTGTTTGTTTGTTTGTTGTTCTGTTTATGTAAAGATGCTTTGAGTTGCGTGCAGCAAGAAACAAGTGTTTAATAAATTGAAATAATAATAATAATAATAATAATAATCATAATAATAATAATAATGGACATACAGGCCACAATTGTGCCATGTTATGCCACTTCATTGGGAATAGCAATACTCCCCATGACTAGCATTTGCTGAACCTTCCAAGCCCATCAGAGCCACCAAAGCCAGAGCAAACATCTATCAAAGATGTAAGGGTAAGTGGGGGCTAGAGAGAATTTTCTAGTTATAAAGACAGAAATGGATGGCTTTAGAGATGGCGACCTGTCACTCAACTAAAGGAAACCCATAGGAAAAGGCTATATGGCTACTAATTTGCCATCACCTTTACCCATAGCAGTGCACAGCTGCTTATGAGTGATGTGATTTCAGTTCCTGTCCATCCTGAACTACTACTACTGGGTTTGGGCCACATAGTGCTCAGGCTAGTGCTGCCACCTCCACTGCAATGCATTGGTTAACCTCCCTTCCGTTGACTCAGTCTTAAACCATTAAGACTTTATGTAGCTCAACTGAAGTTAAGGAAACTATGCCATATGTCATTTGAAGACTGTTGCTTCTGGAAACCCTTTAGCCCAGTTTTCAAGGTTAGAAACACTCCCTTGTTTGGACAGAGCAACAGCTTTCTGTCTTGTCTTTATCACAAAACTGATAACCAGCTCCCTTGCAAATGTCTCTCCTGTCCAATGTCAGATCACCAAAAAGAGAGAGAGAGAGAGAATCTAGCAGCAGCAAATTTAAACTTTACCTCAGTTTGCTTGTGCAGCGCATCCCTTTCACCTACATAGAGGGAGCTCAAGGCATGTTCTGAAGATAGAAAAGGATTAACAGAAAAGAGTTGAGGGTTCAGTTGCTGAGAATGGTATGGGTGAGTTCACTGAGTTATGACACAATTCAGTGGCAGATTATCATGGTGACAACTGGCTTTAGAGAGAGTAAGGGCTCATCCACACTTCTGCTTCCTTTGCCTCTTTCCCCCAGGAAAGCCCACTGTTTACTGCCGAATTGGAACAAATGTCAATCAGTTTTTCTGCAGATTGATCTTTGTTCTGATTCAGTGGTAAATGGTGGGATCTCCCAGGGAAAGTGGAGGGACAAACAAAAAAACTGCTCGGACCTGTGCCTAGGAAGCATGGGACAAGTGGAAAACCTTTTGGAAGCAGAAGTGTGGACAAACCCTTACTCAGCACAGTAGGGACCCAACTATTGCTGGAAATATGAGAGAGAGGGAGCAAGGAAGGGGAATCTGCAGCCCTCCAGATTTTGTGCTGCAACTCCCATCATTATTGGCTATTGCCTATGCCAGGCATGTCCAAAGTCTGTTTCGGGGGCCTAATTTGGCCCACAAGTCGGCTTAATCCGGCCCCCGTGGCAGTTTATTTCCTGGAGTAAAATCCTAAAAAATCCTCAACAACTTCAATCCTTCAACAACTTTGGTTGGCCCTCTGGTTGGCCCCCATGGCCCTTCACTTCATCAAATCTGGCTCTCTTTGAAAAAAGTTTGGACACCACTGGTGCTGTCTGAAACTGATGGGAGTTCAAGCCTTGCAACATCTGGAGGGCTACAGGTTCCCTATCCTTGCCATAGGGCAATAGGCTGTACAAAGTTACTTTTTTTAACCTCACTTGCATTTACACAAATTATCACTAAGGCAGAAATCTTATGCATATTTACTGTGGATATGCCCAGTTGAAAAAAAAGGGAGGGGATTATTTACAAGTGCATGCACAAGATCGCTCTGAAACTAATGCGAGTTGAAATGGGACATAGGCATGCCTACTTTTTTTTTTTTGTATACGTGTACAATAAACCTCTGGAACAGTGATTGCATTGTGCCTTTGTAAGAATACAGTTTAGGACACATGGTACTTTGGTTCATTGGCAAGTGAGACATGCAAAATAGGGAAGGTCTTACGTGGCTATAGGGATGCTTGAAAATCAAGCTAGTTCATAGGCATATATTTTCAAAATTAAACCCCCTTTAATTAGGTGGGATATACCTCATTTCCTGCATTTTATATTCCACCTTTTCCTCCAAGGAGCTCTACATTATCCACTCCGTCCTCATTTAATCCGCACAACAACTTTGTGAGGTAGGTCACAGCAGAGGCAGTGACTTAATAGATTTGAACCCGGATCTACCAGATCCTAATCCCACACTCTTAACCACACCACCTCACGGGCTCTCACCCCGAAGCAACAGTGTGTGTAGGTCGTGGCCATATGTTCACTTGAGCTTACATCCGAGTAAACATGCCGTACCCTAATGGGAGCCTTGTGGCCCCCCAGACGTGGCTGGACTCCCGACAGCCCCAGTCAGTATGGCCAAGGCTCTGAAATTTTGGGAGTTTAAGCCCAGCATCCCCCGGAACGTCCCAGGCTCCTACCTATGCGAGCCTCAAACTCGATACTCAACCCCAGCAGGAGTGGGCGTGGCCGTACGAACGCGCGCCTCGACGTCACAGCGATACCCAAAAGAGCTGAAAGGCAAACGTGGGCACTTCCGCCCGGCTTCCCCCGGCTTCACTCGGAGGCACGTGATCTTCCCCTCTCCTCCGCTCCCCTTCCCAGTGGAACCAGCCTCTTCGGTTCCGCGCACGTTCCCGTCGCTGTCTGGGCGGGACATATGGCCACGCCTCCGCCAATAGCAGCGCAGCTAGGCGGGTCAAGATGGCGGCGCTGGCGGCGCTCGCTAGCTTCAGGGCGCTGCGGCTTTGCGGACGGAGCAGGTAGTGGTGGGCCTTTTCCCTTTCCGTGCTTTGCGACGGTCTTTTTAGCGAAGAGGAACGGTGGTCCCGGCGGCGAACGCGGGCGAGGTGTCACCCCTTGTTGGTTTTCAATGCACGACACAGTTGGCGTTTCCCTTTCGCAGTCACATTCACACGCGCGCCCCCCTCTCGTATTCCTAGGCGCCCTTATTCTCCTAGCCCAAACAAGGGATCGGGAGATTTGTCCCCCAACCCCCCGGCCTGTAGGTCCCGACAGCTTGGCTTTTAAGTCCAGGGATCCCAGAGAATCGCCATGGCGACACATCGAACAGACACAACCGTCTATCTTATTAGGGCAATATACGTGGTGTTGCAAACTTTTCCAACCGCACCTGCAGCTTCTCAGAGGCAAAGGCTTTTAGAGTGTAATATTCTCTTACTGTGGGAACAAACAAGTAAATGGGCAAAGCGCCGCGACTGCTTGTGGTGGGTCATATCACTGTTCTGGTACTGCAGGTGGAGAAAACGAAGGCAAGAGTTTAATTCCAAGACGACCAACAATAAGTCTCTGATAGCACCGCTGGTTAGAGTGCGGTGCTGATAACGCCAAGGCTGCAAGGTTCTCTTGCATATGAGACAGCTGCATATTCCTGCATTGTAGGGGGTTGGACTAGATGATCCTTACCTTAGGGCCCTCCGACTCTATGATTCTAGCATCATGTAGTTGGAGGATGCAATGTTAATTCAGTGACTGAGCATTTCACTGCTCAGGTTGGTTTTGTAGGTTTTGATTCTTCTATCTCAAGGCATTTAGATGTTTAACTGGCAAAAGGAGATACAAGTCTCCTATGCAGTATGTGCAGGGTTACATCAGTGATACTGATGACTCTGTGACTTAGAAGGTGGCTCTCTATGCCCTGGCAGCTAGGAAGATTAGGAAGAAAGAACTGGATGGGCTAGTGGTCAACTGCAAAAGGGACTCTGAGATCTAATTTGCACATTTTTTAAATTACATGTAGTATTATTATTATTTTTATTACGTAAGAAATTTTGGTGGATTTGATCATGGTTTTACTGCATATGTAGCAACTGCTTTTTTCCCCTTCCTTCTTTGGATGCTGCCATGGCCATTGGCTAGTGCAATAAAAATATTAAATTTAAATTGGCTCATAAAAAGACACACTTGTGCCTTAAGTTGTAAACTCTATCTGTACATTCAGATGCACGCAACTGTGCTGTTAGGCACTTGTCAGCAAACCTGCAAAGAAGACATGCCTAATGATGTTCTATTTTCATTTGTTATTTAATATCTAAAAGTCTTGAAATGTCAGGAATTACTTTCGTTTTACACCGTTCTGTGGGGGCACATAGTGCATTTAGGACTGTAGCCTAAATCTGTTTCCATGTTTGTTTTTTTTAAAAAAATAAAGTTGAAGTCAGTGGTACTCTTGTTAGTATAAATGCTTGTTCTTTAATGCTCTGGGGGGCTGAAACAATCGTGCAGAAAGTCTATATATTGAGCTCAGGAGTTCTGAGCTGTAGTAATGTTATATCACTGAGAGAAAGATTCATGGGACAAAACAGTAAATGGTCCGGGGAAGAACAAAGGGATTGTTAAGAAAAACTGAAAGAAAATGAAATGAAGCGCTCTTTTTGTACTGTACAGTATAATTACCCTGTGCGTCTCAACAGTTAGAAGATTGTATTGAGGCCAGCAGCTTAGCAGGGTTCAGGCAAGGTTCAGGCATATGGATAATGACAGCAGTACACTGGGAAAAATAACTACAGATGATGGTTTGGTTTCTAATATATCTATGGCCATCCAGTACCAGGGAGCAGATGAAAATAAGCAGTGCTAATTTCAGTCAAAGGTTTTACCATTTCTGCTCTATATTGTGTGTGTATGGGCATTTGCTTCTTTGTTTCTAAAACGATTAAAATTGTAAAAACCCATTCCTTCATTATAAGGTTGTTATGGACAATAGCTCCTCCCTCCTGATCAAGGAATAGCCAGCTTTGTTGCAGTAAATCTCCTATAGCTATAAGGCGGAAAGACAGTTATTATGACTTCATCACCAAAGTAAACTCATGAATAGCGAGCTAGAAAAAGGTTTCATTGTAAAATGAAGAAAGGAAGGGAAGTGTTCACATGACAGATGATGACTAACCGAGAGCTGGAAACACACGACTTAGAACAATTGGTGTATGTTCAGCCCTTTGTGAACTTAGTCCCAACCTAACAGTAAACGCTTAAACACCATATAATAGGAATCAGTTGTTTAGGATTCAGACAGGGATTCAGGTCTATTCCAAAGGGTGCAGTATTTTCTCCCTCTAGTATTCAGGGACTCATCACTTATTCTCTCTTGCCTAGAGTGAAAAGGTCCAGAACAACAATCATTCTGTAAAAGATCCTTACTTTTGTGCGCTGGATTCTGTTTTCTGTCTAAGAGGATACTTCTTACTACGGGTCTCTTCTCCCTTGCTTAATGAGTAGATCATTAAGAGACACACAGTATCAGACATTCTTTCTCACTCAGACAAGAATTTCTAAGTAAAGTAAAGAGAGAGAGAGGTGCACTCTCGCTCACTCACTGATCCTTGTTGCCTCAGTCTTCTGAGGAAAAGCATATTGCCCTTATCCACCATATATATGCTGTAAATGCTTTCTCCACAATTTTGCTATTGAAACTCATAGTTAGGAAGTATAGAGTCAAAGTTCCCTGCCTTTGTGTGTTCAGCTTTGATGGGGGGGGGGTTATATTTCTGACCCTTGGCTTAAAAGTCCCTCAATCTGCCTGTAGTTGTTTCCCTCATTTATTGCTTTTACACTACCTCCATTCCTTGGATCTTATTTGTTCCTTAACTTTCCCACACAGCCATTCTCTTCCTGACTGGCATCTGATAAGAGCCCCATCCTGCACCACACAGAATGGTGCCTCCATGCCACGATAAGAGTGCAGTGGGTCGCGTCCTCTGCCTCTGGAGAGACCTTGACTGATTCCAACGAGGGGCAGATTTACCTCAGCGAGAACTGTGTGAAGGTATGGCTTCTTGGAAATCACCAGCTGTATGTACCATCTGTAGTGTCTTGATTCCTCCTGAGCTGCAGTATGATGTGGTGTTTGGTGCGAAAATGTCATAAAAGAATGTATATGTGTGGCTGAGTGTGTGGTTGCTTTAATCCAAAAAGTATACATTATATTATTAACCATCTCCATGGCCTGTCCATGTCAGAGAGGCATAATTTGATGTGGCTGCACGTGAGAGTTGGTAATATGCAGTAGTAAATGGCCCAATGGTTGCCATTATTTTGGGTTGAATTGATTTTAGAATGAATTGGTTTTAGAATGCTATGTTACTTTTATTGTTGTTAGCCACTCTGAGCCCGGCTTCAGCTGGGGAGGGCGGGATATAAATACAATATTATTATTATTATAATTATTATTATTAGCATACAAACTGTGATAGAACTAGTAGTGGGGTATTCAATCCAGGCTTGGCAAAAAGAGAAAAGGCCAGGCATGTTTTGGGTAGTGTCAAAGACTGGATGTGAATCAGCCCTTACCGTTTGCAGCAATGGCAGCACTTTCACCAAAGGCACTCCAAGTGTTCTCTTCGAGTACATGTGAAAGAATGTGCTGCCAGGTTGATTGGTGCTACATGCCTCTCGTGTGTGTTTTGCTTTAGGTTGCTCTGTATCTGGCACTTACCATCTCTTTGAGGGGTCTTGCTAGTTTGATGTTGGATTTCAAGTGGTTGCTAAATATTTTTGTATGAATCTGACCCACCACTTAGCTTTCTTTTTCTGTTTCAACAGAGATTGTTGGAGATTGCAGAAGCATCTGAGTTTCTGAGGCTGCAGGTAGAAGGAGGTGGCTGCTCTGGTTTCCAGTACAAATTTTCTTTGGATACAGTTGTGAATTCTGATGACAGGTAAGGGCGTAGGTTCCTGTGTGGTGGAGGAGAAAGAACTTTAGGGGAGGAGTGAGAGGGAGAGAGCGAGCAAATGATCGAATGAGGAATGAATATCCTATTATATAGTGCAGATAATCCCGTTGTACTGTTTTCCACTGCTATACTTGTGCATATCATTTCCAAGCCTCAAGGCAGCACAATGCATTCAGTGTTACAATTACCTCTCAATGTGTGCATTTTGCTTTTCTTTTTCACTTAAAGATTCAGGGTAACTAATACTACCATGCAAAATACATATAATCATCTAATCAACAAGGTAAAGTAAAACAACAAAGTGTCTTACGGCACCTTAAAGACTAATAAATGTATCATGGCATAAGCATTCATAGACCAGAGTTCATTTCATCGGATACACAAAATGCCACAATAAATGTGTTTGTATCTAAGGCTCTGTTGCTTTTGTTGCAACAGACTAATTCAGCTACTCATCTGGAAAAGAGAAAGCTAAGAGAGGTGCTTAAGCCAAATCAAAAGCTACTTGAAGAAGCAGGATTTTCACCCTCCTCCGGAAAAGCTGGCCCGACAAAGGCAGGCCTTTCTTGAAAGGGAGTTCAAGAGGTGTGGAGATCACAGCCAAGAAAACCCTGCTTATAGATGTCTCTGTTTTCACCAGGGAGAAAGATGGAGTGTTGGCGAAGGGCTCACCTGCCAGCCTTAAAGGATAAGGGGGCTTGTGATGGAGTGGGCATTCTCTAAGGTCTTGCTGATTGTAACACCTACGTCTGGGTGTGACCCGGAAGCAGGGGCAAATAAGATCTTGGATATGTATCTATTGCATTTCAAAATCACTGCAACTATCTCTATCTCTTCCTCCAGGATTTTTGAACAAGGTGGTGCCCGAGTGGTTGTGGACTTGGACAGTCTGAGCTTTGTGAAAGGGGCTATGGTGGACTTCAACCAGGAGCTAATTCGCAGCTCATTTCAGGTGGTCAACAATCCACAGGCAGAACAAGGCTGCTCTTGTGGATCATCCTTCTCCATTAAGCTTTGAACAACCATCTCCATGCGGACCCTAGTGGATGCTGAGTGGCATATCTCCTTTTCATTATGTTCAGCTTCCAACTGGTGTCAGTTGTATGGTACCATGCAAATAGTCTGGACTGAGTCTCGGATAAGAACTGATATCTCCAGGATTAGGTGTGAAGTGGGCAGGGCACCTGTGTTTTCCTTAATCCCAAATGTATCTTCTCAGTAGGATTCCTGATGACTCACTGCATAGCACTTGATCACCTTGGGAGATATGTGTACATACGTCTGTAATTTAACATATTTTGGTTTTTTGAAGTGATTTCCCACTGCATGTAATTTTCATGTATGTTAATAGGCATATTTTTTTCTGTATTTTCATTTGTACCCTGATGAATGCACGGCTGAGTTATTGGGGCCCACAGCTGCTCCCCAACCTCCACACATTCAAAAGCACCTGTTGCATGGTGCCTATATGCATTTGAATGCACTTGAGATCCTGTACAGATGAACTGGAACCCTGGGAAAAGGAGCGTTGCTGTGTACAAAGTTTTTAAGGATTGTCTTGCAAGGGAATTTTGTTGTGAGGATGTTGCGAGTACCAAATGGGGAGAAGTTTATGTTGCATATGTTCCATAACTTAAGGTTTCCTTTCTCCTTTTGCCTTCTCTGAATGGTAAACAAGAGGCATTAAAAAAACCCCACTTGCTTCATCTTTTGGCCAAGATGCTCAGTATTGTTGTTTTAAAGGAAGTGTTGCGTAATTACAGTGCTAAATAATTAATGCCTTGACTCTGTTTCTCCTTTGAAATCAGCTGGGAATTGAAAGCTTCATTTTTGGAGTAGAACTGGGCTGAGCAGCACTGCATGCCTCTAGATAATTTTTTTGTTCTTTGACCACAGAGGAAATCCTGTATCTAATTAGTGGACTTTTGGAAGGCTCTTTGGAGGTATTTATCTGTGAAGGACCTGCAACCGAGTATTGGTCATAACATTTGATAAAGTGCCTATATTTGTGCATCGTTCTTTGCAGTGACCTTTGTTGTTGCTGAGCTGGGACTGATTCCCCCCACCCCAGGAACCTCATCTGCCTTTTGGATTAAAAAGTTCTCCCTATTGCTGGATTTAATTTCTTACAAGTAACAAAGTGTAAGCTGTATGTTTCCAAATGGGAGCATAAACCATATAGACGAATTATTAGTTCATTTGATGCGTTCAGAAAAACTAAGGTAATGAATTGTGTGGCTTGCCTGTTCCTAAAAAAGCAGGTAACTCACATTTGCTTATTTTCTTTTATATCTGTCATCTTCAGTTTTAAGGAAGCAGACATGCTTGTACGAAGAGCGCAACTCCTTTTCCAACGGGTCTGACACATCTACCCCAAGAAGGAATCAAATTTTAAAGTGAAGGGCATGCCCTCTTTGAGGAATAGTGGGGCTTTGGGGGGCCGTTTCTGGAGGAGGAAGCCTTGAGAGTAGAGAAACTTGATCTGCTAACCTGGAGGATTTGGGGGAGCGGGGGCAGGGTGTGTTAATTTTCCCACAGTATGGGGAAATTAGAACATAAGTCCCAGATCCATTTACCTGTTATCTCTAGTCCTTTCTACATAAATGTCAATTAAGCCACCTCTTTTTTCCTTGCTCCTCGGCTACAACTGATAGGGTGCAGATTCGGATTCCCTATCTACTAGAATTTATAGCATTATTTCACTAGGGGGCATCCTTATACTTTGAGATGCAAATGGCTGAAGAAATTGCTTGTGGAAAATGATGGCTTGCTTGGTTGTGCTGTGGTTGGATCTGAGGCTGAGAAGTAGTGCATAAGTGCTGCTTTGTTTCGAAAATCTCATATTCAGGAGTATGCTAGGCAGTTGGTTCAGTCTGTGCAAAATTCTAAAGCCTTGACTGCTGCCTGCTGCTTAAAAGGGTCATTTCTTGTAGTCCAAAATGTCCAGCATAGGGAGGTGGTGGTGTCAAGGTCCTGAAGTAGAGCAATGCAAAGGAGTGGCAAAGAGGGAGGGGCACGGGTTGTTAGAGCCTTTAACAAAGGAACACAAATGCAGTTGAGAAAGAGTCTGATCACAAATTATTTCAGATTCCCTAGGCTATCTGAGCACCATGCAGATTTGCTTCTGCTCCAAAGCATTCATGCCCTTAAAAACTTGAGAGCTTCCTGAATCCCCACTTACTAAATGAGAAGGAAGGCAGAGAGATGGTGTAATATTTTAATTGTGTTGAGAACATGCAATTTTCACTAAATGTTTTGCTGAGAGCGGTTGTGTTTTCAAAATTGCATATAAATCAGGCGTCTGACACATCTGACCATATATGACATTTTCACTATATTGTGTATGTTGGTGCAAACCAATTCAACTGAACATACCATCATGTGTAGATTGCATGTATGCCTATTTTACCATAGTTATACATTTTGGGCAAGTAAAACAATCCTGTTTGTGACCTTCACCCCTTATAGCAAAAGGATGACCTTGGATATGGATTTTCACACTCTAGAATTTCTTTCAAGTTGGCTTTGGTATTCAAGACTTATACTATTTGACTTAAAATACACAGTTTCCTGTTTGAGTGTAGCGATCTTTTTTAGCTTTAAAGTATCTCCCAGCCCTCCAGCACCAACTTGGTCCAAGGAAATCATTGACTGCTACGGCATCTGTGTTCAGCACCAATGTAGGAATGAGAAGAGTAAGTTCTGTTCTGTGATCCAAATTGAGGTGCTCTCAATGTGGAACCCTCCCAGTGGTGTTGGACTCCGACTCCCATGAACCCCAGCTCATGGTTAAGGATGAAGGGAATTGTAGTTCAGCATCTGAATGGCATCATGTTGGCTACCCCTGATCTAAATGGTTTGTTTGGTCCTTACAATGCCAGCATTCTTAACTCTCACAATGTGTAAATGATGAATCTTGGAGAAATAAATACAAAACTTAATTTATTGGCCTCGTGTTCCACTTGTCATTTTCTTCAGATGTAGAAAATGCTCAGTCACAGTCAGAAGAAAGGGAAATCTTATCATATATGGGGGCCTTTGACATTTGATACATCAACTTTTGCTTGGGATTCTTTCAGCTGAACGACTATGCCTGGGATGGGGCAGTTTAAATGTATTAGTGCAAGAGCTCACACCAGAATTCTGCTAGGGGCAATGTTTGAGATTATTTTTTGGTATGCCACCCTTCACGTTAAAAATAATAATAATTCAGACAGCTAACAACATTAAAATAATGTTGCATATTGACTCAGATATATATGGAGTTTTGTTTTGTAGGGCGGTGTTGTATCAGAGCTAAATATAGGTCACAACCTATATACTTTTAAAGTAAAGTTTCAAGCACAGTACTTTACAAACTGCAATATTCAAATATGTTTGGTACAAAATTAATTTTCCATATAATATGTGGAATAGACTGTTATCTATCATGAACACATTCTGTGTGTTCAGGCCTTCCTGCTGAACCTTTACTCCTGGATGTAAATGGAGCTTCCTTGAGTTTATACACCTGATTGTACCTGTACACACACACACACACACACACACACACACACACACACACACACATGTTTGAATGCCAAAGTCGGGCAAGACGATCTAGTGCCAAGAAGTGGTCTGCAAATACAGGTTGTCTCTGAGTGTGTTCTGCAGCAGGTCGTCTGCTTGTGGTCTCTGCTTCTTGGGGGGCACAGTTCCCTCATTCCCTGCCCAACACCTCCTTCAAACTGCTCTGAAGTCTCCCATGCTGAACCCAAACCAGAAGTGATAATCAGCAGTCTTGACAGGAGTATCTGGGCACAATCACCGTATCAAACCCTCCTCCTTTGACTCAGTCCCATCCCACACAGATACTTGCAACGATTGGATGTACAACTGAAGCAGAAAACGAAACTTAGGGTAGCTCTTTATCATGAAGAACAGGAGTAAGAAAAGAGTGTTATCATTAGCATGCATGCATTCCTTATTTGAAGGGCTTTAAAATTAGGCCTTTTTATACAGTCCTCCCCTTGCTTTGGGGTAGTTTATTTTTAATGACAAGAGTTCCTGCTTTCAGCCTTTGTAGCCTATCAGCTTTTTGACTCATGTCCCCGTTTGGCTAATCAGGTCTCATTTACCTTTGACATCTTTTAGAGGAATAGAATGGGCCATTACAGTTGCCTTGGAAACAGTGAGATTAAATGCACATTGCCATGGCAACCTGCCATGATCTTCAGCTTCTATCTGTGGGACTCGTTTCTTCAACGTGGGGTGGGGGGTGGTAGCGATAAGGGATCTTCCATTGCAGCGACGCAGTGTTTTGGCCATGGTACAAACACAGAAGGTTGTAGTAGTCAGGAGTCCATGAGGAATACAGATGGGAATTGGTAAGTTGCAGTCTTGATAGGACTATCTGAGTGCACTCACCTTATAAAACTCGCCTTAGTCCCAGTGGTCAACATGGCAAGCTTTTGAGTTATCCTGAACTCTTATTCAGGCAAGATGAAAGCAAGAGATGGTGTGGGGAGAGAAGGGCAGGGGAGGGAGTCTGGATGTTGCAGGTATGAGGTCAACTTTTAAACTCTACAAAGATGGAGATTGCAGACTGAATAAGTCTCTGCTAGGTGCTACATCGATAATCAGGTTATGTGTCTAGGATCCTAGGATAAAGAAGCAATGGTTGCTCCTCATTTTTAAAAAACGAAGGCCAGTGTTACGAAGGTCTCTTCCACACCTTAAGTGAAAACACAGCTTCCTGATCAGGTAGAGAACGTGAATAAAGAGAAACATGGCAGTCTTTGTATAGGAAAGCCAGATATTGATTTTAGGTGATGTACTAGGTAAAAGAATCAATTCAAGCCAAATTGTGTAGCTGGAAGGGATGTAACCTCACAATGTTACAGCCATCTTCAGGTGGTAGAAAATTATCTCCCTGTAGATCCAGCTCTGAACAGAATGTTTGAACCAACGTCATTAGCAATGACTTGGACCTCTTCCACCACCACTGCCTCCTCAGTGGGTGACTTGAATTAAAAGTCTGGGCATCAGCAATCTCTGAGCGTGCTCCAAAGAGCTTGCAGGATGAAAATATTTTGCTGCAGTGATAGAAAAGAGATGAGATGAATGAACTAAATTCCAGGGCTGTCTATTAAGAATCCATTTCTCAATATGGCGATGCATAAAGACAATAGAGGCAACCAACCTGATAATTCAAGATCAATGTTATGGTAAGACAGAGCTTTCCAAACTTTTTGTGTTGGTGACACACTTTTTAGACACGCATCATTTTGCGACACAGTAATTCAGTTTTACTAGCAAACGAGGTTAAACTTTCCAGCCCTGAGAGGAGCACAGGGAGCGTTCGCGCAACACACACTGCAGCCGACACAATAACAAGTCACAACACACAGTTTGGAAAGTTCTGTGGTAAGATTTTGTTTTTTAAAAATCACACACATAAAGTGCACATAGATGCTCATAAATGTTTGCTAACCAACAGGGGTTTGGACATACTTAGCATTACATCACATAGAAAGAGTCGGTTGTATTGCAAATAGATAAATGGATAGCCGCCTAAAAATTGTGAGAACCTATTGCGTTTAAAATGGTTTCTGTTCTCAAATCACAAGGTCAAACAAAACAAAAGCCTCAAGCTTTTTTTAATGTTATGTTTTTTAAGCAGCTTCATATTTTTAGCTCACGCTGAATATGGGAATTGACTTTGATTATTCTTAGCTGATTGCCTCACAGCATTGGATGCTATAAACATGTTGCAAACATCCAGTCCCTTCCGCAGTATTTGAATAAATAACATAATCATAAAACATGTCTTGTGCAGTGGATTTTGAAACATACCTTGAAAAGATGCAAGGGGGTAGTCCATCCAGAAATATACAGAAAGTTGTTAAGATTCAACATTTAAAACCACAGTGAGTTTATGATGCTCTGTAACAAATACCTTATTTCTGAAAGAGGCACCTTTTAAGCTGTGCCCTAACAGCTCCTGAATTGTGCCAATTTGGAGACATGCCTATGAATTCTTCTGGAGAGCTCAAGCAATTTGAGTATTTCCATGGATAAATATACGGACCTTTGTCGGCAAGGTGATGTCTCTGCTTTTTAAGCAGAGACATCACCTTGCCGACAAAGGTCCATATAGTTAAAGCTATGGTTTTCCCAGTAGTGATGATGTATGGAAGTGAGAGCTGGACCATAAAGAATGCTGACTGCCAAAGAATGGATGCTTTTGAATTATGTTGCTGGATGAGACTCTTGAGAGTCCCATGGATAGCAAGAAGATCAAACCTATCCATTCTGAAGGAAATCAGCCCTGAGTGCTCACTGGAAGGACAGATCCTGAAGCTGAGGCTCCAATACTTTGGCCACCTCATGAGAAGAGAAGACTCCCTGGAAAAGACCCTGATGTTGGGAAAGATGGAGGGCACAAGGAGAAGGGGACGACAGAGGATGAGATAGTTGGACAGTGTTCTCGAAGCTACCAACATGAGTTTGACCAAACTGTGGGAGGCAGTGGAAGACAGAAGTGCCTGGCATGCTCTGGTCCATAGGGTCACGAAGAGTTGGATATGACTAAACGACAACAACATGGATAAATTTGGTAAAAGTAATAGAGCCAGGGTCTCCGACCCTTTGGGACCTGGAGACACACCTGGAAATCTAAGAAACTTGCAGGCGTATCAAACTGCCCATTTCATGGAAGAAAACCTGGCAGTGCTCAGAACTCAACCCACCCCAGCACAAGAGGCAAACTGCCTACCCCTGCAACAAATAAAATAGACCAAAAAAAGGAGTGAGCACTCTAAAAACCCCAGACACATGCCTCCTCAAAAAATGGTTGGATTGCTGCAATGTGCTCTGTGTTGGAATATCATTGGGGTTGGCCTGGAGGCTGCAGCTGGTGTAGAATGTGGCAAGTGGTTTGCTTGTGGGAGCCAGCACCTAAAGCCTTGCTTGCAGGACTTGCACTGGCTGCCAGTTTGCTACCAGGCCAAGTTCAATATGTTGGTCCCAACATCTAAGGCCCCATATAACTCAGGACCAGGTTACTTGAGGGACTGCCTTCTCCCTTATACACCCAGTAGAGCAAAGCAGACTGTGGGAGAGTTTCTTCTGCAAGTTCCAAAGATTACTGAGGCCCATTCTGCAGTAACTCAGAGCAGAGCTTTTAATGTGCATGCCCTCTTCTGTGGAATAGCATTCCTGTCACAATATGACAGGTGCCAACTATCTGCACTTTCCAAGAACAGTGAAAGACATGTTTATTATGACAAGGCTTTGCTAGCTGGATAAATGGGTGGCCACTTGTTAGGGTTTTGGTCTTGTTTAAAATGTTCTTGTTGCTTTTGTGTTATTAACTATTTTATATGTTTTTAATCACCTCAAGGTGGTAATTTAGAAGGTGATTAATGAATTAATTGTAATAATAATAATAATAAACCCCTCATTATTATTTTTTAAAAATAGGGTAGTCAACAAAGAGAGCATCTTTGGGCACCATAGTTCTCATGTATGTCACACTGGAGACCCGAGTAATAGAGCATCTTGGAAATGAGGACATTTTAAGTTTCATCCATCATGCCCAACGTTCTTCGAGCCGCCTGCAGAACAAAATTGACCCTGGGAACTAAGAGGTTGGGCTGAGTTTTGTGAAGTGTGAAAGTACATTTAGAAATATTAAATCCAGTTCTTAGGATTATGCACAGAAACAAATGAGAAGCCGCTGTCACTCACTGAGCACAAAGCTACAGAGCAGGTCTTAAGAGGGAGCCTGCCAGCTGGAGGGTTTTATGACGGGATGTGAGTTTTAGAAGCGTACAGGATGAAACAGCATCTGGCTGATACTTAAAACAAACTGACACCCATGCCTTGAACCAACTAAATTTTCCCATGTATAAAACATGATTCTTTGGTGGTGGCCAGTTGTGAGGTGACAAGGTTCAGACCCT